CTCAATTTTTGAGGACTTAGATTTTTCATTTTTTTTTGTTTCTCCTTTCGGTTTCACTGTAACACTCGCCAGAGATTATGGCTCGTCCTTCGTCGGCGACTGCAACAGCGACGAAGCTTCTCGCAATCAAACCAGAGGATTACGCTCACAGTCCGGTCCATTACGCCGTCGTTTTGGGAGATCACGGTGTACTCACTCGTCTTCTTTCTTCCTTGCCGAAGTTAGGAGATCCAGAGCAGATCCGAACCGAATCCGACTCAGTGAGTCAGGAACGAGTCGCGGATCAGATCTCCGCCGTGCTTGACCGCCGCGACGTTCCTTCTCGTGAAACGCCTCTTCATCTAGCGGTTAGACTCGACGACGTGTTCGCAGCGAGATCGATTTCGTCAGCCGGAGCTGATATTTCTCTCCATAACGCCGCCGGATGGAATCCGTTACAGGAGGCGTTTTGTCGCCGGAATACTGAGGTTATGAAAGTGCTTCTACGGCAACACCACCGATTAGCGTGGTGTAAATGGCGGAGACGGTTACCTCGTTTGATTGCTGTTCTCCGTCGTATGAGAGATTTCTACATGGAGATCTCTTTCCATTTCGAGAGCTCTGTGATTCCGTTCGTCGGAAAAATCGCTCCCTCTGATACTTACAAGATCTGGAAACGCGACGGTAACCTCCGCGCTGATACTACATTAGCTGGATTTGACGGATTGAAAATCCAACGAGCGGATCAAAGCTTTTTGTTCCTCGGCGACGGTGACGAATCTCTCGATATCTCTCCTGGATCTTTGCTTGTACTGAATCGAGACGATTGTAAAATCCTCGACGCATTTGAGAGTGCTGGAGCTCCGATTAGCGATTCGGATATCGCCGGGTTCTGTTCTCAGTCAAGCTTGTACCGTCCCGGAATGGATGTTACGAAAGCAGAGCTTGTTGGAAGAACGAATTGGCGGCGGCAAGAGAAGATGGAAAATGTCGGTGAATGGAAAGCTAGGGTTTACGAAGTCCAGAAAGTGTTTTTCAGTTTTAGATCTCGGAAACTCGTTAACGATAACGATTTCGCTGGGAGTGAGCAAGTTCTACCTCTAGAGCTAGACGAAGACGACGATGGATTCTTAGTAGCGGAGAATCCGAGTTTCTCAGCTCCGCCGCGACCACAGAGACGGCATAGTAGCTTTGTTAAAGAAGATAGAGATTTGATTTCAGTTGGGAGAAAAAGCGTTGATGTTTATCCATCCGTCGCCGCACCACCACAACCACCGCGAAGATCTGTAACTCAGTTCCAACCACCGCGAAGATCTGTAACTCAATTTCAGCCACCGAGAAGATCAGTTGCTGTACCTTCAACGGTGTCTCCGGTGAATCTTCCTCCGTCTCCACAGATCAAAGAGAAGGAGTTCGTGAAAAGCTTACATCCGTCAGTTTGGTTAACGGAACAATTTCCGTTAAAAACGGAGGAGCTGCTCCCGTTACTGGACATTTTAGCCAACAAAGTCAAAGCCGTCGCGAGAATGCGTGAGCTACTCACCACTAAGTTCCCGCCGGGAACTTTTCCGGTCAAGGTAAACAAAAATGGCAATCTCGTAAATATCTTTTATTTCTTTAAAAAATCATTAAAATCGCTTTTTCCGTTTGTTACTCTTTTTGGGCTCCTCCTAAGCTAAATACTAACATTTACGACCGTTAAACCCAATGCGTCAAACTAGTTGACGTGTCATTCTCCCATTAGCGGGACCGAGCCACGTGGCAAAACCTTAGCTTTTTTTTTAATCATTTTTAGGGACCCATTGTTTTTTGCTTCTTTATTAGATCTCTAATTTTGGGAAATTGTGCTTTTTAAATATCTTTGGATTAGTATGATTATTTTTCTTGTTTTCTGCTAAACAAAATATTTTGTGTGGGATCCAGTTGTCGATTCCGGTGGTCCCTACGGTCAAAGTAGTCATCACATTCACCAAGTTCGTTGATCTTCCACCGGCGGAGCAATTTTATACACCGCTCTCAAGCCCCAGATTCCTCTCTGTCCCCGGCGAAGACCTATCCGATGCTGACGAAAAACCCGACTCTCGGAATTCTGTTTCGCGGCCTTCGTCGTGGCTGAGACGAGCCGGGAAAGGCTCACAAAGACGGATAGATGAGGAGGAGCAACAAATGCCGGACCCATTTGCTATACCAATTGGGTATAAATGGACAAGCATGAGTCATAATAATAATAAGTCAGGTAAAATGAAGCGATCAAAGTCTACTAAGAGATCTAAGTGAAAAGAAAGTTTCTATTTGGGGAATCTACTTGTTTTTTGTAGATATCTGATATTAGTAAGTAGTCAATATAGAAGAATTATTGATGAAAATCTGCTTGTAGTTTTTTTTTCTTTTCATTATATACATTTTATATTTTCTGAAATGGGTTATATTGATTCAAATGGTGTCACTTTTGCTCTTTTTCCTCGGTCATGGTCTAAAAGAGTTACATTAATAAAGGTTTCAAATGAACGCACCAACTAAAGTTAATATTTTTTTGTTTCGAAGAAAAGAAAATAAAGTATGTGTTCTTGCTTTATTATTTATGGGCCAACATTGGTTTATCAATACGTTGTATTAACTTTTCTAGATACAAAAAAATTATGTTGTTTCCAACTACAATTCGAACTACTAACTTTTGATAAAGCAATTAGTGAGTGTTGTGCTTTAGGTTGCATAAGACACAATTTATACGTTTTGGATGACATTCCATTCCAAGCTGGCTTTTACATATATCCTTGGTATAAATCTATAATTTGATAAATAAAAAAAACCTATAAATTACATTCTGAGAGGCATTGGAGACTTGGAGGTGAAGTTAATAACATAGTGCATATGTACATTGACAATAAACTAACCCAATAAATGGTATTAAGGCATGAGGGACAGATACAAACCAATATAGGGTATATAGTACATGCTTATTAGATTTATAAGATTTTTTTTGTTTTGTCACAAGATTTATGTAGAAAGAGATTTTTATTTTGATTTAAAAATGAAGAAACATAAGATAAAGATGTCACATGTAATGGGACATATTTAGATCACGACCTACATCTTATGCTTCATACCCAAATATTCCAAAACAACGTTTGCTTTGCAAGTCGGAAAGGAACAAACTTGAGTTAGTAAAGTGCATTCAAAGAAAATCCAAAAATATAATAATATATCTTACAAATCTAAAGATTTGAACCCTGTAAAAAAAGGACAACCTAAATAATAATATTTTAC